CGCCGCTATATAAATGGTCAAACTAGTTTGACCAATAACTTTCAAAATGCTGTTTTTAAAACACTTCTGAAAAAAACACCATGACATGATGTTTTTCTATAAAAAAACACAACAAGAAAATCACCTTGATTACCAAACACACCCAGAGACCTTCAAGCAATTTTCTTAAGACTATGGTGAAGAGTGCGTCAGGAGTAAAATCAAGGCTAAAAATCGGGAAAAAACCCTTAACTTCGGATGATTATCAGATAACATCCCACAACTTATAAAATATTAGAAATGCCCCTTAAGTTCAAGTATTATTTAAAAAAAACCCCTTGAAATTTTATATAAAAAAACCCTCTTAACAGCATTAATTGCAATTTTGCACATCAGTGGTCTAAACCACGCAGTGTGTTTTTTAATCCCTCGGCCATCTTCTTCCTCCTCCTCCGCTCCCGCCGCCGACTCTACGTCGTCTTCATCTGCATCTCCTCCGCTCCCACCTCCGCCTCCACGTCGGTCTCCTTCCCGACTCTACGTCGTCTTCATCTGCATCTCCTCCGCTCCCACCTCCGCCTCCACGTCGGTCTCCTTCGGCACCGTCGACGCGTTGACGTAGGGCTTGAAGGAGAACCGGTTCCCGTTCTTGAGATTGTAGTAGGCTTTGAAGATCGAGAGCTCGCCGGCGTATCCATCAATCCCCCTTCTCTTCTTCCCTCTTTCTCTCGCCCTCTGCAACTCAACAGGATCAGAGTCCAAATCAGAGCAGCAAGAATTGAGTCCACTGGGGTCTCTTCAGGCTTCAGAGCTCCCCATTTTGAGGTTGGTTTTTGGCCAAATTTGATCTTGAAATTTTAATGGGTTTCTTGTGAATGCGATGTTTAATCAAAAAATTTTTGAGCAGCTTCCAGAGCCTTTGACAGGCAAAGTATGGACACAGGATGAGTTCGAGCCTTATCCCGCTCTGTTGGTAAAATGCTTATGCATTTATTTGGTTGAAATCGGGGCTCGATTTTTTTTGCATTGGCTGTGTTGTTTGGATTGTTCTACTTCTTTGTGATTTCGTGCGCATTCATTTGAGCTGGTAGATTGCACGTCTAGCGCTTCTCAGTTCAGGCATTTCTATGTCCAGTTATTTTTGTAAGAACCGATTAATTCTTGAGTTCAGGAGAACTGTTATTCGTGCGCATCATATCTGCAACTGTTCACTCTTTTGAACGGTGACAGATAATTGACAGAAATTATGTCGTCGCTCCTTCATCCTACATATTCTAGATTCAAAAACTGAGTGATGTCCAAAATATTATTGATGTAAGGTTCTCTGTTAGTCGCAATGTGATGCTCTGGTTTTGTCCCAATTTTAACTAAGTAGAATATAGTTTTACTATTTATATTCCTTGTGCTTGTCGAGATACCCTTCTTTAATTAGCTTAATTTGGAATTATTTCACTTCACATTAAATAATCACCGGGGATCAGTCCTACAAAGGATATAACCTTGTAATTCGCAATATAATTTCCTTCTTGTTGGTTGCAATTCTCTTACTAGGAATTGGTCAACCAGACAAAAAATTATCTGATGTTATTACTAACAATGCAGTTATTATACCCTTTTTGCTTTAGATTTGTTCCGTAACCACCAATTAGCTGCTGTAAATAGATTCCAGATTGTATCCAGCAGTGTAAAAGGGCAGCACACGCTTTGGGTACGAGTTATTTTGCAGAGCGAAGAAGTTCATCTTTCCCTCGACTTAGATTGTTGCTTCTTTGGTTTTAGATTTTCCTGATAGAAATTATCATGCTTAAAGAGGAACTGGTTAAACATTTCTATCAACTTCACTATATTATTAATTCAAGATAAGTCCTAGATTGAACTCTGGCATGACGCTTCCTCAATGGCTAGTGAATGACCATGTACTAAAATCTTCTGCGTGCACCACTTTCTCAATATCACCAGGAGCAATATGAATATTTTCTCTTTTAAACCTTTTTCCAGGCTGTTGAAGATTCTCTGAAGAGTCTGAATTTATTTCATGGTGGTGTCGCTGATAAACAAGTAGGGCAATACAGTGGCGATATGAAGCGGAGACTAAGTGTTGCCATTGCTTTGATTGGTGATCCTAAAGTACATATATTATCATTTATCATATTGCTCCTCTTAGCTATTTCTTTTTTTTTTTCCTCACTTTTATCACATTATGGAGTCGCATTGCTAATATGCATTTTGAATCCTTGTAGGTTGTCTACTTGGATGAGCCCAGCACAAGACTAGATCCAACATCACGAACCCACTTGTGGAATGTTGTGAAGTGCGCTAAAAAACACAGGGCAATAGTTCTTACCAGTTAAGTTTTGTATGGCAATTTTTTTCACACGAAATAGGAGGTTTTAGTTCTTCATTATTTCATTATTAGGATTAACAAGACCATTTAGGAGGTTTCAAGAAGAAATGTGTAGCTTAACTTGACATCTACCTCATCAATGTTTGGACTGCTAAAGTTCTTTGTTCCGGTTAATTTCACTTAAGCCCCAGAACTTTAAAAGGTTTTGCACATAATTCCCCTTGAACTTTGTTCATTCAGCTTAACTCCTGTAAACTGTGGGGTGTATCATGTTGATGGAAATTTTCAGGATCCATGTTTTGTTATGTGGTTGAAGTTGTTTGCAAACTGGTAATTTACGTAGTTCTTGTAGAAGGATTGGCAACACATTTGTCAGTTTCAACCTTCTTTCCTTTCTTGAAAGTATAAGAATTTATGTTTGAGTTATTGTTCATGTGCACCTATAGTTCCAGATGTGGACCAGACAGATGTATGACACTTTGAGTTGCACTGTCAGTTAATTACTTTTGGCAAGGTGATTATTGAGCTTATTTCGGGTAGTATATGCAAGTGATGAATCGATTCATATACATGATTAATCAGTTCTATGAGTTTTCATGCAGGTTTTCTATACAAAGAGCAAGCCAAATTGTAATGCTTGCCCAATGAGAGGAGAGTGCAAACACTTTGCAAGTGCATTTTCCAGGTATGATATACACTTTAAACAATAATTTCATTGAAATGCTTGCTAGTATTACAAAATGGAAATTATTGATGCACCAAATTTGTCTTGCAGTGCAATGCTTTCTCTTCCAGGACCAGATGAGAAATGTTTGGTGAGCTCAACAATTCTTGTTTTCTCCACAAGAATTGATGGATCAGTTCCCATCCCAATGCCCTTACCTCAACTTGAAGGGAGCACGCACATAAGGGAAAAAAACTGCTCCTAAAATCTGTGAGCCTATTGTTGAGGAACCTGGGACGCCTGAGCCTGAGCATTGAGGAACCTTATTTTTTTGTTATTGCTCACTTTGTAACTCAATGTTTTTGATGTGTTGTATAATGATGGATATATTTTTTTAACAGAGATTATTAAATTATTTAAAAACTCAATTATCTTACTTGCAGAATTGATCTTTTTTTTTTGCTTAAAGTAGGTTCCCAAAAATGTACAAAATAGGTTTTAATTTTGTATAATGACAGAATGCTCACTTTGTAACTCAATGCACAAGGTAGGTTCCAAAAAAAAACACTGTAGCACGCATCCTAGACAGAAATTCCGTCTAGGATGCTTTTTAGACGGATTTCTGTCTAGGATCCTAGACGGAATTTTCGTCTAGGATGCTTCCTAGACAGAAACATCCTAGACGGAAATTCTGTCTAGGAAGCTTTCTAGACAGATTTTATTTCCGTCTAGAATTATCCGTCTATGATGCATTCTAGACGAAAATTCTATCTAGGATAATGCATCCTAGACGGCAACTTATTGGACGATCATCCTAGACGGAATTCCGTCTAGGATAGTCTTCTTAAATGGAAAAATGGTTTTTCTAGACGGAATTTTCCGTCTAGGATGCCTCATTTTGTACCAGTGATAATAGTTCAAAGTTAAGGGGAACTTTCTGATATTAAGACTAAAATCAATTATACAGTTATGCTGAAATGAGAAATTTATTTTCAAATAGTATTGGAGTACTTGGGGGAAATCTTCTACCAAAGGGAAACTGTTAAATAAGGTAGAGTATTAGATGGAAAACAAGAAAACTCATACGTTCATGTGTACTACTATGTTTCGGGCATTAATCAATTCTTCTTTCCTTGTCTCTTATTCAAAACATATGCTAAATTGTTAACCATTGCATTTAGATCCTCTCCACTACAAAAAAGAAGCGGAGAGGTCACTACTTTCATTTTAGGTCATTGATTTTATTTCAATGATTGAGATGAATTTAATCTTTCTTAACTGTTATGGGAATCAATTAGCCTAACATATCTCCTATTTTTACTACTATCTAATCTACTTTCCCAATCTTATATATCCAGTCCTTCGCTATTTATTTTTCAGATTTTTTCCGGCCTTTTTTCTTTCTTCCTTCCGTTTTTTTTCTCCGCTCCCTTTTTTCTTTTCCTTTTTTTTTCTCTGTTGAATATTCTTTTTCTTTTTTAATCATTTTTTCAAAAAAAGATTAAAGAATTTTCGAAAGCCTTTTTATCACAGGTGAATTTTCTTGAAGTCACCTCAAAAAAGTTAAAGAATTAAATATAATTTTAAAAAAATTAAATTTTATTATGCAATAATTACAAAAGTATTTCATAACAAAATATGCTATGAATCAAATAAAATGAAGAAATATTTTAATTTAGAATCTAGAGACCATGAAGATAAATATTTTTCAAGTTAATTTTTTGAAATAAAACCAATAAATCTTTTTCCTAATGTAGAATAATCTCTCAAACTCCCCTCAATTTCACGCTCTCTCTCTCCCAGTATCCCTCAACTCCTGTTGACGAAGCTAATTAAGCTCACAAAGAACCCAAAGCTAATTACAAAAGGCAATGAAATGTTTATATAGTGCTAGCCTCTTGTTGTTGATTACTTTATGCGTTTTTCTCTCATTTATATCTGTACGTGAGCATATGATGGATATGAGGAGAAGAAGCTAATTAAGGAGATCATCACGGATGACCCGTCACCACCTTCAAGATCCCCAATGTTTTCAACCGATTCCAAATACCTACGACCATTGAATTCAACCTCAAACTCGGGAGCTGTTACAATCTCCTCACCGTCGCCGTTGCAAGCAGCCTCAACCATCATCTATTCGCGCCGCACCGGCCGCAAAGTCCAGGCCCGCTACCTTAATTATGCAAGTACCAAACTCCATGCCCTAAGCTGTCCTCTAGTCGCAAACAGCTTCAATTGTCTTTGGCGTCTACTGCATGCCGCTTTGAATGAGCAGAGAAGCCACCGTCTTGCTAGGTCGTTGCCACCATGTTCTATCTCTTGCGTTCTATACTCCCCGCAATCATCTATTACTGCTCCGACATCACCGTTGGAGTCCATGGTGTCTCTGAGCTGATCGTCGGCGAGGATTGCGCTTCACCTTATCTCCACAAGACTCTGCACTTGTGCAGTTTTTCTCCTCTTCACTTGCTATCTGTTGATAGAACAGAGAAGAAGAGTAATAGAAGGAGAAGGGTTCACGAGGGCCCCGCCAAATGACAACAAAGGAGGCCATCAACAGTGACGTAGCCAGGATTTTTTTTTTACCCTGGGCGAAAAAGTAATCCTGGCTGGCGATGAATCCCAAGGAGCAAACATCGGCGAAGGAGATGCCTCGCGGCCGACAGCCGGTCTTAAATCTTAATATGACTTTGACTTACGGTCATTAATTGCGGCCGACAGCCAGTCTTGGATAGATTTCGATTTGACTTACGGTCATTGCGNNNCAGCCAGTCTTGGATAGATTTCGACCTGCAGCTGGCAGGCAATCTTAGATCGACTTCGACCTATGGTCCTTGAGATCAATAGGCAGTCTCAAAAAAGAATTCCAATTCACGACGTTATGCTGCCGAAATGTAGAACAAAGAACCGATATGCATAAAAAAGAACAATACAACAATATCTAAAATAAATTTAAAATTTAAGTGGAACATGCTCACGTACAAATAATTTGCAGGCACTCTCTTTGTTGAACCAAAATGCACAGCAAAAGAATCGAAGGAGACCAGATCCGAAATCACATATAACAAAAAGAAAAGATATACAAAAAGATAAGCTTCGCATCCAAACCCCCAGAACTTTAAGTTTGTCCCAATTCCAAATTCAATATTACAATCCAGTATTCAAACTTCTAAAAAAAATACAAATCAGTCCCAAACTCCTGAAATTTGCAATTCAGTCCTCAAACTTCTGAAATTTACAGTTTACCCCATGAAATCATGAAACTGCAATTCAGTCCCAAAGATTTAAAAATTGCAGTTCGCCCCTTCATAATCCTTGAAAATTCGAGTTCCTGCAAAATGACAAGAGATAAGTCCAAAATATTTTAAAATTGCAACATGAACCCCAAACTTATGAAATTCACAAAGTCCGACAAAATTGCAAATCAACTTAAAGTGCTAATAGTGCAAAAGTATGCAGAAACTACTAAAGTTCTAAATATCATAAAATTCACAATGGACCGCAAGTCCATAAACTAAAATATAAATTCACCCAAAATCAAATTGATCAAAATCCAAATTCAACTCCAAGTTCAATTCAAACGACTGAGATGTCGTTAAACTAAAATCCAAATTCAAATTCAAAACCCAAATCAAGTTCAAATTAAATGACTGAAATGTCGTTAAACTACAGTACAAACCCTAACCCAAACCCAAGTCAAATCAAAATCAGATGAATGAAATGTCGTTAAACTACATTTAATACCCAAATTCAATTTGAATCAAAATTGACCGAAATGTCATTTAAACTAAAATCCAAGCCCAAATCAAATATCAAGAAGTTGCTAAACTAAAACTAAAACCAAATCGATATTGACCGAAATGTTATTTAAACTAAAATTCCAAATCCAATGACTGAGAATTCGCTAAACTAAAAAACCAAATCAATATTGACCGAAATGTCATTTAAACTAAAATCCAAATCAAATCAAAATCAACTTGACCGAAATATCATTTAAACTAAAATCCAATTCCAAATCTAATCGACCTCTATGTCACTAAACTGGACCCTGAATCAAATCAAACTTCTAATTAAATCAACTCCGCTCAAATCAACATCCATCTATATATGTCATGCTGGAAGCATGTTTTGAGTTTCTTTCCAAATTGTATACAGGGGGGTATGCCGTTTGTTAAGCCATGTAAAATTGTATCCACATTTCTGCTGTGAATCCTATTTGATAATTTGTTGGCTCTTAATCGAAGGTACCTTCTTGAGGAGGGTAATTCCCAATAGATTCTCTTGAGTCTATTGGGAGACATGGACCGCACAAAAAGAAAACCCTATAGAACTTATAGATCTAAATTATCTATCTAATTAGATGCTCTTACCTGACATCCAAGTTAAGGGGGACAATTTTGATCACACAAAGATCAGCAAATAAATTAATTATTTTTTATAGTTTAGTCTTATTATTGTCAGATATTTGAAGAGACATGGTTAGGTTTGAAGGAAAACACATGGAGGGAAAAAAAATCCAGATTCTCTTCAATTGGGTGACGATTAGAGAGGGTTCAATTAGCTCAAGTTTTACCCTTTCAAGGGTTGTGATCATGTCACGTATAGGGTTAGGGTTAGGCTGGAAAAATGCAAAAAAAAAAAATGCTTCTTTATCATGTGAAAGTATACTCGCATAACATTAAAAGCTGGAAAATGAAAACTAAGCATTCTGCTCAAGAAAGACTTGCAACCAAGGGTCACACAGTGCAGCATTATCTCTTCACTTTCCAGCTTATCAAACACATACGACATCACAAGTGTCACACTTACAGGACTTGTAAACATGATACAGTGTCTCGTTCGAATACTTTTAATGAATGACTATTGACTACAAGTTTACAACAATGAAAGCCATAAAACACTGCTTGCTTGTCTAAGAAATCCCTAATTATATACCTCGCAAACGATGGTAGTAAATCATTGATGGTAACACAAGGAAAAGCAACCGGAATTCGCTTCAGCTTATTCCTGTCTGCAATGCCCACGAGGTGTAGAAGCAATTGGCAATAGTTGTTATAATGCTAAGCAATAAGGAAACCATTTGCGTCGAGGTGTGATATAACTTGCTTGGCCATGGTAGCAGGTGAATCACACTGCCCATCCCTTGGTTGTATCACAACCTGAAAGAAAATGCAAATTTCATTTCAGTCAAGAGCTCACAGAAAATATTCTATTGAAGGATAAAATACACTGCTGATCATTCATGCTTGAACAATTTCATGTTTTAAATAGGGTTTAATGCAAATACACCCCTTGTTTATAGGTTGTTAGTCAAATATCACCCCTAGACATTTGCATTAACAATTAGACGCCTTAATGTCCAAGCAAAATCATCTCTCCGTTATTCGTATGCATCAGGCGATGTATTTTAAACACCTATAAGAGAAAAGAGGGTCTTTCTGCAACACACTGAAATATTAGGGGATCTCTCTGCAAACACATTAATGTCATGTGACACCCATGATATCTCCCTTTGACCATATGATGGAGAGATAAACCCCTTTGACCATAATGAGGTTGAAGTGCTATTAAGAAGTTTAGGAATAATAAGTTGCTAACCCCCTATAACGCAGAGGTCGTATCTGCAATTAACACTTTTAAACAAGTACTGAAGCAAGGACCAGCAAGTAACTGATTATAATCTGGATTCTGGTGTGCAAGTAACAATAGTGAATAATAATAAGGTATTTTCCTCGTTAAGAGTTCACGAGCAACTTGTGATTGTTTGAGCATCAATGCAACATATGCAACATAGCACAAAAACTAGATCTTCACTGGTATTACAACCTAAACAGATCTTTCCCATTCATAGAAATTTGCATCACAATTTCAGATCGTGGACCCTGTTACTATCAGCCCAAACAGCTTTTCCCCGTTTAAGCATATTGTATCAATAATTCAGTTCATGGACACTATCACAAAGCATCCAAAACATTCCATCTGACATGATATCAGATATAGAATTCCTACAAGAAAAGTGGTTTCATTAATTGGATCCACAAAGACTGTCACCACGAGAGTGGTGATCACGTGCGCAAACTAATGAACAAACCATACTGCAAGAGATTTCACTTGTATAAGTGCAATGCCTGGCAATCGCCAACAGATACCAGTTGCATTTGCTTATGTTGCCAATATAACTGGATGATCAAGTTTTTTCCAAGTTATGAGATACCAATATTTTCTTACCTCACAGTTCAATGGCTGTTCATATGGATCGTCTACTCCAGTAAAACCTGCAAATTTTGAAAAAAATTGTTAATGCGGTTGCATTATAGGCAGAGTATGTTAAGACTTTAAGCAATAATATTTCCATTTATGGGAAATAAGCAAGCAGCTGGTGCAAATTTAAACAATTCTGTAACTTACCTTTGATCTTTCCTGCACGAGCAAGCTTATACAAGCCTTTTGGATCCCTTGATTCACAGATTTCTATAGGCATATCCATGAAGACCTGCAGAAAACATAGGGTATATTCATTATAGAGGTACATGAAAGCAGCAAAATGCACATGAAACAACTACCTCGATAAAATTAGAATCTGGTAGCAGAGCACGGCATGCATCACGGTCTCTTCTGTATGGAGATATCAAACTGGCAATGCATATAACACCAGCATCTGCAAAGAGTTTTGCTACTTCACCTATAAAAAAAATAGTCAAGTAAGCCGCGCATCAGTCTCTAATACTTGATGATTCCGAATCTTAAGAATAACACTTTCTGCTAATTTTCTACCCGGAAGCATATTTACACTCCAAAAAATGCATGTTGTCAGCGATTGTTGCATACAAAATAATTCTGGTTACAATTGCTGCAGCTTCAGGAAGAGTAAAAACAATTAAAACAGCACTTACCAACTCTCCTTATATTTTCTGCACGGTCTTCTGCTTTAAAAGTGAGATCACGATTTAGGCCATGTCTAACATTGTCACCATCGAGGACATAGGTGAGATAACCCATGTTATGCAACTCCCGACTTAGTGCACATGCCACGGTGCTTTTTCCTGAAATACATAAGCCAGGATTGATTATAGTAACTTCACATATAATTTTGAATTAAACAAGACAATTATAAAGATAAGTCCTAAGAGAAGGATAGAAGGGAAGTGCTAAAAAATTATTGTGAGCATATTCTCTAAAAAAGAAATAAAAGGGTGCAAATGAACAGAAAGCTAGGCTCACACGAAAATCTGGAAGTTAAACCAATTAAGATTTACAACCTAGAAGGACTACATATCACGTGCATGACAGCCATGAACTGCAAATGTATTGATCTGAGCTATTACGTGAACAAATCCACTTTAAGACTCGAAGTACAGAAAAATGCAACCACAGAGAAAGTAAATATATTGATGAAGTAACTGAGTATCCACCATACTTATAAACTGTGCTCCAAGAGTTCAAGAAATTAGAATAACGTAAGCATGTGGTCTTGAAATGCATAATAGACACAACGGAGATGGGGTCT